TCCGCCGCCCCAACAGCTCGGCACGCGCTCTCGTGCAAGCGCCGGCCGCCGGCGTGCAACTGCTCCGCGCCCAGAAGGTCCCCCCGGAGGGCAGGGAGGGCGCTGCTTACCTAACCCCGGCACGAACGTGTTGAGGAACAAACAGATGACGGCCACCGGGAAGGGCATGTAAGGGATGGCGGCGCGAAGGGGCCCCTTCTTCTCTCGCACTTGCACCACGACGCCGCCTGAGGAAGAGGCGGCGGAGGCGACGGCCCCCCTCGCGGCCTCACCAGCGGCCGGCCCGGCAGAGTCTCCTTCCTTCGCCCCGCGGTCCATGACGCCTGTTGAAGCGGCCGCACCCCGGAGGCTCCCGGCTCGAGTGAGGAGCGGGAGTTCGCGTCTGCCTCGGGAGGCGCCTCCGCTTCTGAAGCGAGAGGCGCTCAATGGAACGCGCGCCCGGGCTCCCGAGGGCGCCGCTTAAAGAGACAACCCCGCGCACGCTCGCCCACCCCGCTTGCTCTCCCTCACTTTATTCTTCTTCTGTCGCACGCGCTCCCAGGTTTTTCTCTCCTTTTTTTGGCCCGCGAGACGACGCATGCGCTCTGCCATCCCCTCCAAAAACGCGCAATCTATGCTTCACCTGTATCCATCCGTCCCGGCCCCGCATCCCCCCCTCTCCTCGTCTTATCCCAGAGGCTCTCGCCCTCCTTCCTCCTAAAGGTCAGATTACTGGAAGATTAATTCACCTTTTATGACACACACCCTCCCCAGTTATTGCTTTTTTAAAAGTAACAGGACAGCCGTGAGGTTAAAAAAAAAAAGGAATGAACGAACTTCTCTCAGGCCAGGGAAAGGTACGGCTCCCAATTAAACCTGGCCCAAGCTCGAAGGAATAGCTAACACTACCAGGTTGGAAAACTTGATTGAGAGTTATAATAGGGGGAAAGGCAAAGTTGTGTATTTAATAATAGCTATGCGCCCTCAAGTCGCCTCTGACTGTCAAAAGCCCCTTTCCAGGCTTTTCTACGTCGCATACTCAGAAATGTTTTATCATTCCCTTCTCACGGGAATCCTCTGGGAGTGTATATTTAAACAGGAAAAATAAGATGTAGGCTGTAACTGTGAAGGAACAACTGGAGTGTTGCTCCAGATCACCAAAATTTAGAAAGCACAGAAATGCAGAAGTGAATCAACTGAGGAGTGTTGGGAAAACAAAGGGGCAGAGTGAGTGGGAGATGATGCCACTTGCCCCACATGCCAAAATAGCTAGTTTTGAATTATTCAATGCACAAATACATAGGGTGGGTAACAGCTGGCTAATAGATTTGAACTACATGAGAGGACGTTTTAGTTTAACATTAGGGATGACATCCAGACTGTAAGTGCTGTTTGACAATGGAATGAATTCTCTTAGAACTGGTGGACTCTGTTTCACTGAACAATTTTAAAAAGGAGGCTCATGGTGGATTTCGGCACAGACAAGGTAGCAGATGTGATGATCTTGGGATCCCTTCCAGCTCTACAATTCCATGAATGCTATGACATCTGTCTTTCTATCTGTGTACCCTGTATCAAGTCCTCAGTGCAAGAAATGATGCTCCTCAAACCAGAAAGTATTTTGGTGTATTTATTTTTTTTCCGCACATCTGGGAATGTCTTCAAAGCAAATTACAGATAAAGGGGAAAAATACAAATACAAATTTTACATTTTTTTTTAAAAAAATGAGATGAATGAGATCAAAATGACAAAATTTGGTCCTTCCCTACTCCATTGGAACTAATTAAGTTGTGGCCTAGAAACAAATTCCATGTTTGTTTCCAAGCCACAACAGAAAAAAAGGATTTAGCAGGTGACTATAAAAATGTTCCAAAAGAGACTATTTGCTCTGGACACCACGGCATATGTGCGTTTTGCTGGCACTTTAAAACACAATACTGATAGTTTTTGGCACACCTACACTTTTACATATGATTGCTTTTGGTTCTCTCCCACACAGCCATTGAATTTATTGCATTATACACCCACAAGAATTGTCTCAGGGCATTTTCACATACATTGAATTTCCTACGTAACTCTCTTATCCACTTGAGAAATGTGTACCTCATCTGCATGTGTATGGTGGGTCTGCATATTTCTAGCTCATCTTTCCTACTGAAATCAAGTGCCAACCACAGCTATCCATGGCCACTGAGAAGCTGACAGGATTTATGCAGGATATACAGAATTTCCAGTGATGTCTCCATAAGATGTTCTGCCCAGAAGAAGCAACCCAGTCAATACTAGAGGAGTTGTCTCACACTCTCAAGACAGATGTGCTAGACTCAGCTCTGTTTTTACTTGGAGGCAGTTGACTCACCAAATCCCTGCTGTTTCAGTGGACTTGTTCTAGTGGGACTTACCATTCTAAGTCACAGGATTTCAGTCAGTGTGTTTTTATTTGTCACTAAACTTGTTGAGCCAATTTTGAATACACAGACGAGGATGGAGTCTGTCTGGAGTCACTGGGCTCTGTCCAATGTAGTCATTTCACATTAAAAAAGCTACTTTTGCAGGCAGACAATCCTTCCTCCCTTCTGTAGCCCTTTACCCACAAGACAGCCTGGTGACTGATGTCTTCCACATTCTAGTCTGAACATTAAAGGAGCTGTCTAGGGTGCTGAATATATTTTTGCAGATAGAGTTCAACGCCTGGATAGCACCTACATAGTTCAAACTAACATTAGAAGTAGACCCAGCTCCTCCGTGATATAAGATTTACTAGCCTCCACTATCATGCTCTAAAATCTGCCCTTAACACCTGCTTTGTTAGGGTATTAAAAAACCCAGGTGCATTTTGAACCTCGAAATAGCTGTAGGAGATAAAAATCCCAGGGCAACTGAGTACTAAGTATCAGTATTAATCTAGACTTTTAGAATATTCTCTGGGGGAAAGAATCTGTTCCTGAATGAGGTATGCTTATGAACCCCTATAGGGTTGAATTAAATTATACACTTAGCACATCTTTGGCAAAGGTGCTCCTTCATGTGGTGAGAGGTGTCTGTTTCTCATAGCACATCCTTTTCTTCATCTGGCTATCTTGCATTTAGCCATGCTTTGTTTTATAGCTGGCAACTAGAAGCAAAACAGGCTTAAATTGTCAGTTCAATAGCTGAGCCATGCATCTCTGAAGAAATCCTATTTTGAGAAAGATTTTCAGTTAACCACAGAGAATCTACATCTACCTTAGCATCTAGTGTGGCTCTCAGGTTAGTAGACACAAATCAGTGGCTGAAGTACTGTTGCTTAGTACAATAAGTCACACTAGAGTAAGCCCATTGAATCTTTGGGAATTTGGTGGTCAACTCCTCCATAAAATTGTGACGTAAAATAAATCACAACTAGAATAGGCCCATTTGAATTAACTTATGTAGTAGTTGGCTTGCAAATCCCCATCGATTCAATGGACTTTAGTATGGCGTACTATGCCAAACAACAGGATTTCAGCTGGTCTTTTTATTTGTCACTCAATTGTTGAGATCCTTATGGATACACAAGTGAGGATCAGCAACAGATGCAGGGTTGGTGCAGGGAGAAACTATGGAGCTGGAGCAGGAAGGACCAGCAAATGCTGAAGTGGGTAAGAGTGGCAGCAAGGCGTTGCAGGATAGGGTTGTGTGTGCATGTATCCTTCCTGTTGTTATTCTCAGGTGAAACAAAAGATGAAGTAAGATTCAATGGCATTTTCAGTCGGCTTCTTTACATTTCTCCTTTGAATTGCATGGGTGTGAACAGCGTGGTTTTAGTTGTACAGATAATTTTTAAAATAAATAAATACTGTGTCCCTAGCAGCACAGAACACGATGAGTTCAACATTTAACGTGTCAAAGTGGTCTAACTGCCCCCAAACACAACATCTCTAATCCAGCCTCAGAGAGTCATAAGCACCTTTAAGGCTTATTACACATGGTACTGTATGGAAAGGATTGTCAATGCTATGGAAGGAAACTCCAGTAGAGAGAACCAGTGTGTGTGTGTATTTCTGTGTGTGAATCATCTGTTTGTGCTTTGTAGTTTTGGGGGACATAAGAGTTATACATGGATTTTGAACTACAGGGGGCCTGGCACCCTTAACCCCAGCATTGTTGGTGGGATAAGCGTATATGGAAATGGGAGAAGGCATGATAATTTTGTACTTCACTCTCTGGCAACAAAATTTTGTGGACTGTCTCTATTACAGTGGGGTCTTGACTTGAGAACTTAATCCGTATTGGAAGGCGGTTCTCAAGTCAAAAAGTTCTCAGGTCAAATCTGCATTTCCCATAGGAATGCATTGAGAACCATTTGATCCGTATCTGCTCTTTTCCGTCCATAGAAACTAATGGGAAGCTGCTATTCTGCCGTCGACCACTAGAGGGGGATATTTTGTTTCTTTTTTTTCTTAGGTCAAGAAAGGTTCAGGGAAGGCAGGGAAAATACAGTCCAGGCAGTACCAGGCAGTCTGAAGACTCCCAATCCACTCTCTAACCGCTGGGAGGAGTGAGGAAGCAGACAGGCACCCTTTTCACTGGCCAACAGTTAACGGAAAGTTCAAATTTTGCACTTTCCCTGCCTCCCACGTGGTTATTTTTCAGTTCTTAACTCAAATCTAAGTATGTAAGTCAAGTCAATATTTTCCTATGAGAGCGGTTCTTAAGTCAAGACCCCACTGTATTGAGGAGGACCATGGAATTCCTATACATTCAGTTACAATAAATAATATGCTGGGAGTCATAGGGAGATTTGGAGCTTGTTGTCATGAACACACAGCTCTGTTTCTCTTTTTCTTCATCTGCAAGTGATGATGTACAGGTCCTTGAGTACTGCCTGGCATCAATAATGGACTGGACTAGGGCAAAGAAACTGAAACAGAATCCAGATAAGATGGAAATCCTACTGTTGGGAGGATTGTCAGACCAGTTAGAGGGATTTTTACTTGGCCTCGATGAGATTATGCTCCCCCTGAAGGATTGGGATCACAGTTAGGGCCTAGCTTTCTCGATAGGGGCACAAATATCTACTGTGTCCAAGAGTGCCTTATATCAACTTAGGTTGACTGCCAAGCTGAACCGTTACTTGGATAAGAAATGCCTAACAGTGGTTCATGCTAATTGCTAAAATAGACTACCGTAACACTCTCTGCATAGGTCCACCTTTGAAATCAGTATAGAAAATTCAAAAGGTTCAAAATGCAGCTGCAAGAATGATTACAGGTGCCCAGCAGCACACATATCCCCAGTCTCGATGTGTCTTCATTTACTCTCTGTTAGTTTCTGTGGCCAATTCAAGGTGCTATTAAGCCCATAACAATTTAGGACCTCAACATTTAACAAAAACATCTCTCCTACAAAATAGCTACCCATCCCACCCACTCCTCACACTTCTTGATGTTAAAAATGGTGACACCAAGGAGGCCAAAAGAGCTGGCATTAGGAACTAAAGGTTCTTCGTCCTAGCCCCTTTCTACCAGAAGAAGCTTCCTACAGAGATTTGGCCTGGTACCGTCCCTCTCAGTTTTTAGGAAGCTAATCAAGACATAAATATATAGAGAAGCCTTCTGTTAGTGTTGAACTTTTGACCTGAGATGTTTAAATGTTAAATGTCTAATTTGT